TTTGGTTGGCCATGGCACAGTGATTCGCTGTTCCTTCTTTGATCTGCAGAACAGTAGTATTAGTAGCATGGGTTGGCACCACTGGCATTCTCACGGCCGAACAAGCCATATTGATGTCGTTGCTGATATTGTTTGTGAGTTCGTAAGGATATGCCGACATGATCAGTCAGTGCCCGCCATACTGGGGGGGCCTACAGTACCTGCGTACCAGACTGTAGAAACATAGACAACATGAATACACGTAGGATGTGTGAAGTTTAGATGTTTTGACGCGAATGGTGGAGTGCGTCAAGCAGTGATTGTTATGACAAACACCGCCGCCCTGCACCTTGTCTCACGTGGCTAACCCCCCCCCCACCCGCCATAATATTACCACACCTCAAATCGGTCTTTCGCACAACCTCGGGAAACGATTCGCTGTCGTTCGACAGGTTGAAGTGTGGTGGGAACTGCTGGTGGCGGAGGCGGACAGTCTTCGCCTTCATGCGTTTGCAATTGCTGCTGCATCCGCAGCTGCTCAGGAAAGAGATCCAGAAAATATTCACCGCGGTGCTGCGGTGGCTGATGTTCCTGCTGCCGCTGCAGGTGGCGATGACTCAGATGCAGCATCTCTGGGAGTCGGTCTGCCGGACCGTTAACGTCAGGGACCGTCCACTGATTCAGCCTCCATCTACAGAACATAGAGCACGTCCGTTTTCTGTGTTTCAATGATGTCGTTGTATCCGGATTGTTTAGCCCCCCAGCAGAGAACCCCTCGAAATTTGTACAGACCGTGTCGGAGGTATCCAGTACGGGCTACAAATAGTCAGCGGTTGTTTTGGATGGACTCGACATGGGTTGAATCACACTATCGGTGCCTGGTGAGAGCAAGGGTCGATGTCCAACTCAGTCTTTGTTGTCCTTCTAGACTGCGATAGAGCCGGACGAATGGTGAAGACGTGGTGGCCCTTATCGGGTATGGACAACCGAAACCGACCCATGGGGCTCTCTCACCTTTTGAGACCCCGCCATCTTCGCCGATTTACCTCCCCCATTCCTTCCAGAAAATCAGAACCAGTTCTCATCGAACTGGCGGTGTTCTACGGGCAACGAAGGAAGCGTAACGGGGATAGGGTTTATTCAACATTCAAACCGCCAGGACCTTCTTCCAATCTTTGTTGGGTGGAGCCTTCCCGTTGCCTGTTTTCCTGTATACTTTTTGTTCTGCTTTATCTACTATGTACAGTACCATATGAAAAGACAACGCCCCGCGCAGTGGTGCCACTCCAAAAAAAAACGAAGAAACACCTGATTGGGGAGTTTCGGAAAAATGTTTCCTTTCCGTCAGAAAAAAGGTCCAGACAAAATTGTCCAGACGAAAATGGCGAAAAAAATATCCGATTAGAGGCTCAGATATTTTTCGGCATGAAGTCGCAACGGGCCGTCGCTGATTTCGCCGAAAGACTCGCTCGCGCCGTTCCCCACACCTCTTCTTCTCCCCAAGAAATATAGGTTTGGTTGGTTGGCTGCTGCTGCCATCTATCATCCAAGCAAGGTGCCAGGATCATCTAGCGGGGGTGTTGTTACCGCAGAGAAGTACCCTGTAAGGAGTTCTTGCAAGCAAACTCTCAGCCGCTCAAGTGGCGTCCTGTTTCAATCAACAGAAAGAGGCGGTGGTTCAGCAGCTAGCTAGCTAGCTGCTGCAGCAGCAAGCAGCAGCAACAGCAGCTTCAACCTAGAACAATCGCCCCTCACACAGCGATTCTTTAAGCAGCATTCCAAACCGCAACAGCTGGCAGAGGAGATGGCGCCGACAGAGAGTAACACAAGGCAACTTTTGGGCCACCTCCCAGTAGTTCGAGTGGCCTACAGCTCATGGTATGGGTGTTCTCCTGAAATTGTTGTAGGCAAGAAATTTTCTCTTTCTGAGGCTGGTGAACCTTGTCTCATCCCACACCCCCCTCGGTTCCTTCCACAGCGATCACCACACACCTACACACAGACGCACACCGCCCGCATCGGAGGAGGAGCAGGTCTGTCTGTCCAGTGGTGCTAACATGAGGTTTGGACGAGTCTGTACCCAGCGAGGCCATATTAGTGTGGTTGACTCTACTCTGCTGGTACTGGACAGGGACCCACGCCTCAGATAAGGTGACGGCGGTGAGGTTTGTCTGAGCCCTGGGTGTAAAGTGGGGCCGTCCCAGACAAGAAAATACATTACCGGCTAAAATATTCAAAAAAACTGACCCTCGGTTTGTCTGGGTCATTTATCTGGCCCAATAATATAGGTCTTTTAATTATATTTTCTTTGGCTATTGTACCTCACCTGTAGCCTGCTTCACCCCATGCTGTCAACCTCCAACCTCCATAGAACTGAGTGATTTAACTTGAACGGCTGTTGCCGTCGTAAGAAGCCGTGGCCATTCGCAACTGAGCCCCGGCTCGGATGTCAGCGAATTGGAAACATCGACCCTTTCGGAAATTGTTTTTTTGGTCAGACAAAATGCTCAGACAAAAAGAGGGTCAGACTCTTTGGAATCTGTAGCCGGTAACGTTTTTTTTTGTCTGAGGCTGCCCCACTTTTCACCCGCGGCTCAGACAAAAACCTCTTTCACCAACCTCATTTTTTCTGAGGCGTGGGTTCCTGTTCAGAAGGCTAAAGAAGGCGAAATCAAACCAAAAAGTTAGTCGTGGGTTCGAGATCCAGGCTGGACACTTTGAAGTGATTTTTTTCCTGAGACCCTGGATACTCTCGGCCAGAGTATGGGTGACGGAAGGACTCGTGGACCCTGGAACATTCTGCAGGATGTGGGTGGCGAGTGATATGAAGCGAAATAAAGATTGGGCGGATAGTAGCGCTGGCATGGGGAGTCACCCTCCTCGGAAGTGAAAGTGACGGGGGCTCACGAACCCCACGACTAACTTTTACAGAAGCCGAAATCAAACCATTAGACTAGTAGACTAGGCTCCTACAAGGCTCAGATACTTGATATTTGAGCAGCAACAGAGTAGGGTAAACCACAAAAGATAGTATCGCAAGGTACAGACTCGTCCAAACCTCATGTCAGCACCACTGGACAGACAGACCTGCTCCTCCTCCGATGCGGGTGGTGTGCGTCTGTGTGTAGGTGTGTGGTGATCGCTGAGGAAGGAACCGAAGGGAGGGTGGGATGAGACAAGGTTCACCAGCAGCCTCAAAAAGAGCAACTTTCTTGCCTACAACCAGTTCAGGAGAACACCCATACCATGAGCTGTAGGCCACTCGCACTACTGGGAGGTGGCCCAAAAGTTGCCTTGTGTTACTCTCTATCGGCGCCATCTCCTCTACACAGCTGTTGTGGTTTGGAATGCAGCTTAAAAAATCGCTGTGTGAGGGGCGATTGTTCTAGGTTGAAGCTGCTGTTGCTGCTGCTTGCTGCTGCTGCAGCTATAGAGAAGAAGAGGCGTGGGGAACGGCGCGCGCGAGTCTTTCGGCCAATCAGCGGCGGGCCGTTGCCACATCATGCCGAAAAAAAACCTGAGCCTCTTTTCGCATTTTTTTATGCCAAGTTTAATCTGGGCAATTTTGTCTGGGCATTTTGTCTGGGCAAAACGAAACACATTTCCGAAACGCCCCATCGTCTACAGCAGCAGGAGATAGATGTGATCTCGCAGGGTCCATATGGAGTATCTAGAGAAGTGATGGGCAAGTGTGGCTTAGAATCGACACAGAGGCGCGAGCTGAAAAGTAGTGGTAGCAATTAGTCTACACCTATGGTACAGGACGTGAACCAATAATTCCATGACAGAGGCCACGCGTTCGCTCTACTACAATGCGTGCGGGGAAGGCATGCCAGTAACCTACAAGCGAACATTTTTGGTATAGTCTAATGAAAATTAGTCTACATGTACAAGTACCTTGCTGCCATTGGCGTCTCTCTGTCGTTTAGGTTGAAGGGTAACCACACACCAGTGTAGCCCACTTTTGGCACGACGCCCAGAAACAACATGCTCCACAGCGGACCCGCCGTATGTACAGCGGAGACGGGAGACAGATAATAGGGAAAACTACGCGGTCTACAGTAATCTGACCATTATGGTTTCTCCGACCTGCTGTTGTCGGTACTGCTGCATAAGAAGGCTTACCGGTGTGAAGCGATCCGCCGACAGTGTATGCGCTTGCACGTGCAGGGCTCTCTCGGTCGTGCTGGATCTGGGGCGTGGTTGCCTGTGTGTGCGTCCTGTTGTCCTGAGACCTCTAGTCTAGACCATCACGGATCACCCAACACACGTCTTAACCCTCCTAGTGTACTGGAAGCCCAAATGGGGACACTTGGGGACACAGCAGCACTCAAACGCCTATTTACCGCACTGTCACCCTAGGCTCCGCTGTGTGCAACGCACTTGAGTACCCTTGGCCTATCATGCTTTGGCAGAGGTGGTACACTGTGTGATATGCTACACACAGCAGTATAGTCTCCTCGGCCTCTGACTTGCTACAGTACACATCTCCCGACCCGCGTGCCCCCTAGGTCGTAAAAGTGTACTACATCGGCTTGGCTTTCAGTATAAGCAGTGGTGTCCCCACGTGTATTGGGGACATTTTTCATAGACGCCAAGTCACAAGTCACCCTTTGTCTGGCAAGGAGGTCAGATTCTTTGGAGGGACTGTAGCCCCTCGACCAATGGCTGGCATACATTTTGCTGTTGGTACTACAGCCTACAGAAGTGGTAGGACAAGGACGGAATGTACGGCTACATTGCAATGAATTGCATCCCATGCTACGGAATACCACCCCTTTGCAGGAGCGTGGATAATGTTATGTACTGCTGACAAGGTGTTTTTACATGCGACATGCTTATGTAGAACGGCGGAGAGTTGCGCGGAGAGTTGCGAGGAGCGGTGATTCGAAGACCGAGGGGGGCTGCGCCGTTTGCGGTGTCACCCACCTGCCCTTTTCAGGTCTGCTGTCCGCGTTCTGTAACGGTCCGATCTTCGTGCGGCAAGATCTTCCCAGATGTCAACGCTACAGTCTATCTGCATGAACCACTATCCGAGAATGGTAGAAGCTGGATCCGCACCCCACTTCCTCAACAAACGTGAGCCTCGGTTAGCCTCGCAGCTCAACGAAACAAGTTTGGATGAAGGCTTGCATCAATGGGACCAACCCACGTCTGCCGCGGCGGTTACCCCGTCCTTCAGCCAAGATATTGAAGAACTCGAGACTATCCAGCGTTACAAGCGTATCATGCTCGACGATGCTGCCAGCTCGACGTCCTTCGGGAAAGGAGGTGCACGTCTGCCTAGGGCCACGCAGGTATTATGAGGAGAGCACATGCAGAGAACCATATTTTGTAACAGTTGGATGTTTTCATATTGTCGTGATGTCGTGATGCCAAATTCGGAAGGTTTACTGAAGAGGTTCCCAACTGAACCACGCGGGCCAACTGGTTCTCGGCGTCCAGCTGTCAGCGTCCACTGTAAGCGTCAACGGCCACCGGCCCAATCGCTAGCTGCTTTACATGTACTCCGTGTGCTACAACTTGATGCCGCAACAACGCGCTGCCAACAAAGAGGATCAACATGGAAGCAGGGAGAACAATTTTTGTGCCAAAGGGATACGTATGTAGTCTATGTGCCAAACATCTGTGGTCTTGTTTTTCCAAGGGTGCAACATCAAAACATCGTACCCTCCCAACATATTGCTTCTTTATCTTCCCAGCAACCAATAGATGCACGAGATGGCCACCAAACTTCCTTGTAGAGACCCTGTTTCCTACAGCGGAAACACGAGTGTAGTGTTCGCCAGCGCGATTGCAATTTTGTCGTGGACTCTGATCTATCTGTGGATGGCGATGAGATTCCTTCTGTTACATTCCGCCGTAGCAAGCAATAAAGAAATCTCCCACTAGACCAGACTATATTCAAAAAGAAATTTAGGTCGTGGGTCGGTTCTCCCCGGAGTGAAAACGCACATAAGCATGTAAGCGTGGCATTGTTAGTCGCGAGTCGCGAGTACACAAAAGAAAAAGACGTACGGTACTACCGAACCCTTCTCGCGGCAAAATTCGAAGGCAAGCAATAAGCAGTGCACTGCTGTAGAATCCACAGTGTGTGTGTAGTTTTTTAATACTTGCATCGACCGCGCAAATCAGCTGACTACTGAAAAGAAGTCAGTCTCAATCCGGAAAATGATTTGTGTTTGTATGTGTGTACCGACCCATTACGTTTGGTGCACCTACCGTTTGGTTTGTCCGGGCCCATCTGTCGGGGTCACACAGGAGGAAGGCCACGCAGGATTTGCCTGTTCTCTCCGCGTTCCTTCTGCGGTGTTTGCCTCGATTTCATCGCGAGAAGGATTAAGCCACTCCCTCGTCGACCGTGCAACCGAAGTTGTTGCGTACACACGAAAGTTTCGCTTTCCACGTTGCTCGAACATAATGTGAGAAATATCGCAGTGCGTGTGACTGCGCCGACTTTCTTGCCCACGTCCCAAACGTCAGAATGTTGCGAAGGTAGCAGCTGAAGCGTTAGCCACTGTTTTTGTAACCAAGGGTGAACACATAAAATGTTTTCCTTGTTCTCGAGAATCCGGAAGGGATGGGAATAAACACACACGTTTGGCACAAGTAAAGGAATAAGTTGCACTACGAAGCACGTATCAAACATCAAGCTGTCCTCTCTCTGTCTCTGTCTCTGTCTCTCTCTCTATCTATATATCTATCTATATATATAGATATATCTATACCCTTCGCTCTTGAGCGCGTGCACGTTTTCCTTAAGGCAGTGGAAAAACATGCGGCGTCGCACAAGGATTTTGAAAGACTTCAATCATCACAGGGATGGTTCATCTCAACTACTGTTCGCATTTCTGATGTCTACAACAGAGGAGGTGTTTTCTCAACCATGATATTGCCCCCCTCCTACCCGTCGTACCTTTCCGTTTTACCCGCCGCGTGTTTGCGTGACCTGTTGGAATGCGGATTTCAAGATTCGAGTTCTCGAAACGGAGTTATCAAGGGCCGCAGCGCAGCGAGACTTGTTGCGAAAAGTAGCCTTATCGGCGGAATCAAAGCAGTACTCCGAGGAGGACAGGGCGACAGAGCTCGAGGCGAAAAGCGAGGTGATGTTGGACGGAGCGACAGATAGAGCCCTGATGGTTTTCCTCGAAAGGTCAAAGCCGCAAGGCTAAACGAAAACTGATGCCAGAGGCCGTCAGGCACACGAACGGCTGGTCTCGGAGGAATCAAATGTGCGACGTCATGGGTACCCTGAAGAAGGATTCATAACTGATCGTCAGATCAAGAAGTATCGACACCTTTCGGGAGAGTACGTCGGTCACTTCCTCGTTTACTTCTTGTGCCATCGTCTTCCCCGTGTGGGTGTGCCTATTGGTTTTTGCGGACCCCCCAGGCTGCCGATGCTGCTCTGGCAGATCTTGAGTCATGGATGGACAGGCAGCCCTTGCGCCGGACCGCGCAAGCACCGGAGAAGCAGAAGGATTTGGCCAAGCTCACGACCCAAGCCAAGGTGAACACGGCTCGCGGCTCCTTACCATTGCATCAGAGGGCTGAGGTGTTGAAGAGGTGGATGTTCACGATACACTATCCAGCTACTTGCGCCATGTTTTCTGCAGCCCTAACTGGTGCTTGCACTTCGGTGTGTTTTAAAGGTAGCACGAGAAGCAGCGACCTCTCAGCGGGCGGCGGCAGATCGTGAGCGTAACGTACAGCTTCAAGCCAAGCGTGAGGCTGATCGGGCCGAAAGGGATCACCACGCCAACGCCGAGGTAAAACAGGCCGTACCGCGTGCCCGGTCGAAAGATACTCGAATGTCTCGGAGCCCTGCTTAGACGGTATTGTTGGAATGCAAGGGTTGTTCAGGTGTTGGGCAGCTTCTTCCGCAATAGACCGACAAAGGCTTCACGCAGCTACGAACTTCGATGAACCCCAATCCCCACGCACACCCTGACCAATGCACAAAACATCCTAGCCAAGGCAACGATGGTTCTCCGAAAGAGGCAAAGGGGACCCGGCACCGAGGATGCTCTGAGCCCCTGGTTACATACGGTGCCTCCACGAGGTGTATGTCACGGATATGCTGTTGTGCAGTTCATAGCCCTGAATATTAGCCCATCTAGGCGGGACAGGAATACTGTCACAAACATTTGTTTTGCAGACAAAGCAAGGCGCCGATTGATGCCCCGCCGATCTGACAGCTGTCTTGATCTGCTCCCGTGCCCGGTATCAACGTCTACAACTCGGGGGTCCTCGGGCGGAGAAGATCCTCGAGACGCTAGCTGACGAGAAGGCCGCGCACGAAGCTCTGCAGGAATCAGAGGTAGCCAAAAGGGTTTCCATTGAGGCAGATGTGGCCGGAAAGATGGAGGAGCACCACCGGGCCAGGGCTGTTCAGAGAGGAGAAGCGCGCCAACAGCTTCACAAAAAGGCGCAAGCTCAGGTACGGACCGGTTGCGCCGGGAGCTCACCAGCAAGAGCTGTGTCGTCGGCAGTTTGGGGTGCGGACCGATCTCTCTCTGCAATATGTGTTTGTGGGTGTGGGCTCCACCTCGCGGTATGTCCACCCGGAACGGATCGGTTGACACCCCCACAATACAGAATGTGCTCACAGGTAGACCCAGTGTGATGTGCGATTGTACGATCAACTCCTAATCGCCTTGACTGGGACGAACCAGGGTAGCCGTTGGCACGCAGGTCCCGCCACACCGCATGCTCCGTATGTCCTGCCGGGTTCAGATACAGTCCGTGCCATTTGCTGTTCCACACCATCGATACGAACCCCTGACGGGCGGAAACCGCCTCGAAACAGCTCCAAGCAGCAAAAGCGGCAAGGAGGGCAGCAGCCGAGAGGTCAAACTTGCTGGTGAGAGATGCCGAGCCAGCCCTGAAAGAGGTTGTGCGAATGAAGAACGAAGCTCACGCGCAAAGGTGAGGAAACGACAGCCAATTCCGACCGCTTGGTACATCCACTGTTTATCTCGTCTCATCCTCTGCAATGAGGTGGACGGTAAGGATATGAGTTTGGGGGTGGGGGGGTCGTGCAGGGACTGCACGCTGTCCCAGGCGCTTGCCTGGAATCCTACTACATGACGAACTTCCTGAAACAACACCAGGGATAGGCTTGTGCCGGAACTACTCAAAATCTAGAGAGCTTGAAATGTTGCTCCTGGGCTCATCAATCGGTCTTCTCAGTATCGCAGTATCCGTGCATTTGTCTAGGGTAGAGGTTTCACCAACAGTTTCACCGATTTCCGAAGCGGTGTTCAACGTCCAACAGGGTGGAGTGCGTGCTGCAGCTGAAGGCAGACACTGAGGCAGCGGCGGCTTTGATACGCGGTGCAAATGAGAGAAATGCTGCGGAGAAGCTGCGGGAGGAGGCGGCGCATGAGGCGGAGAAGGAACACTTGGCCGCCAAAGGCCTCAACCCATACAAGGTGAGATCCGACCTTCGCGTCGCTCCATGTCGTACTGGCACCTCGAGTACAGTCACAGCGCAGTATGGTCAAACGTAAACTTCATATATGTGGGTCTGAAAATGACAAGGCCACAGCAGTGCGATCTTTGACAACTCCATCTTCAGCGCCACCGATGCCACCAACAACCATTGCGACAACGATAACGACAACGACGACAACAGTACCAAGTGCAACAGACAACGTAGCAAGATGACAATGACAGTCTGTACCTTTGGTGCACGATGTAGGTCCGGCAGCACTCCACACGCCGCCTCTGGCGTGGTCGCAACACCTGCCACACTGTTTCTGTTCGAAGAGTCCGATATCTCCGGGTAAAATGTGGCCTAGTCAACATGAAATTGTTCCTGCGTGGCGAGTTGTTCGGCCCGAATGACCGAGAGGATGTGCAGTGTCGATTTCCAGCGACGAGCGATGTAACCATGTAACACAGAAACTTGACGAGCTTTGTGCTTTTCGCCGAAATATTTTTTTCTTGAGTGGACAACAAGATATGCCTGAGGCGTCTTCAATGGCGCATCGGCCAAAAAGATCGGAACGATATTCTGGGAAGGAAATAAGTCATAGCTCGTCCTTGACCCACCTCGCCATTCCTCTCATCCACTACTGTACTAATAAGTACTTCTTCTGTCTCAGGTGTTCAAACAACGAGCGGTGGACGCTCGGGCGGTGCGCGAGGAAAAGAGGCAGGAGACAAGAATCCTACTGAGAAAGGAGGTGAATCGTGAATATTATGTAGAGGGAACACGCAGAGATGGTAATCAATGCGGAGGCGCGAACACTTGGCGCGTGAGAGCCAGGATCACCTCGAAATGTGGGCCTTGTTTTTCGATCCACATGTGCTTGTATGTCGCTGATAGCGTTGACACACCTTGTCGCCCAGGAACTGGCAGACCGGCTCAAGAAAGAGGAGGCCCTGCGGAACAAGCACGATGCCAAAGTTAGATCGGATAAGGATCAGGAGCAGAGAATGAGGGATGAGCTTGGGAGGTGGGCTTAAAACACCCCGTAGTTAGGGTACCCTGAGACGATGTCCAGTATTCAGCCTGGTGGCAGGCATCCCCTTGAATTGCTATCGTTCTATCGAATTGCTTGGCTATTTCTGTCCCGACCATCTACCTTAAGCCCACGGGGTATATGGAGCAAGGATCCGGCAGCTCCAGCTTGATAATTTTGACCCGAACGTTCATCTGGAGCCAAACACAGAACATGATGACGGTCAACATCTATCCCCCAAGTGAGGCCGTCGTTTGGAGTGCTTGGTACAATCGCTGGTTCTCCTCTTCATAGTTTTCACTTTGTCTGAACGTGTCTGGCGCACCACAGGCACGTCGTGGATGCTCGGAACCGCGAGTACCTTCGAGCGAGGACGGTCGACGGCACGGACATATTGGACCCGTCAGGAAGGAGCTTCCGCATTGAGGCCAGCCAGGTACTGCAATGCAGCGAAGGAGAAATGACCTCGAACAGGAGACAAAAAACACCCCCAAGCGTTGTGAAAAGTGTCGTTGAGATAGCCTTTCCCCAGGAGAAACTGATGTGCTCTCTACCATGAAGTTATTGTGGGCAAAAGGATGGCTTCCATCGAACGCTCCATGCGGGATAAGGCGAGCATCACGCGTTGCGTACGGTAGACCATCCCTCGAGGAACAAACACTTCCGCATATCGGTTTTCAAATTCCAGGGGGGTAGGGCATGCATGGCAATACAGCGCTGTGAGATATCGAACAGTGTCGCACGTTGGCCTGGTATGAAACACGTGCACGCGCGTGCGTCTGGCTCCTAAAGGATAAGGCTTATGTGCGCCCACACGTTTACGCGGGTGATTCGGAGCAATGAATAGACGCAATCCTCTTGCATTTGAAATAGGTGACAACTATTAAGGACGCAGCGTTCGGGTTGGGCTACCATCCCAGGAAGACGCCAGCAATGGCGGCTGCAATGGTGGACCTTGTAGCGTCGAAGCCGCAACATGCAGGCAAGCGAGTCTCTTATTTTTCATGCGATTGTTGATGTTGATCCCGTCGCTCTTTGCCGGGGAATCGATCCTGGAATCACTCTTAGCGGTCTATTAGGGGCGATCGTTGGTGGTGTCGCCTATCACCTTGCATGACCTATTGGACATTCTAACCACTTCCAGAACAGGTCGAGGATGTCTGAAAGCGGTACAGACATTTGGCCCGGAACAGTTCGTAGTATTAGTTTGTGTCTGGTTGTCCCGAACCTTGATGGAATGAACAAAGACATCTAGGTAGACGACTGAAGGTTTTTGACCCCACCAGCGTGACGCAACTATTCTAGGGTAAGATATGGTACCCCGGTGCAGTACTGCCGTGGCGACACCCCTCGCTCTTGAGCCAATGCTCGCGTGTTTGTGTGTCACCACGGATTACAGGGGTAGGACCCGGAGAATTCGCGAGGTTAATACCGCGGGATCTGACTGACGCCGGTAGGGCCACAGGAAATGAACCCTCAGACCAGGACGTCGGTGGAAGGAGAGCGGCCCCGAATACGACAACGGGAAGGAACCAACCCCAGCACCAACCCCCGCAGAAACAGCAACAGCAGCAGCAGCAGCTACTGGAAGATCTCGTTCCTCCAGCAGACAGAAAGAGTCTACCGGGAACTGGCATTCCTTTCGTCGTGGAAGGGGAAGAGATCGGAGAGACCGATGACTTGCAACTTAGCAAAGGGAGGGATGCTACTGCTAGCGGTAGTGGCAGGGGCGGAGGAGCGGGGCGAAACCTGAGCGTGCTTGAAGCGCGGTCGCTGCAGAAGGCCAGGGCGCAACAAAGGGATAGAGTGGATGTTGGAGAGCCGCAGGTTCGGTAGACTGGGAGGGGGAGGATAGGGGGGAGAGGAAGATCGGATGATACATGATATCTTTTTCGATATCCATTAGAGTTCTGATGAAAAAATTGGAAAACAACCGACGACAAGTAGAAACTAAAACAGGAAAATAAAACCGTTGGTCGCTCAATCCTAACGGCACCCGCTTTCGGTTGTGCATTTCAAGAATATTGGCCTGCCTCGCCTTAGGTTCTAACAGGACACACCGTTGTTCCCTTTTCACCAGGTAGCGGCCGGGAGAACCTTCAAAGACAGACCCTCGTTCGTGGCCAAGCCAGACCACGTGGTCTTCAAAGACTTCGTGGTGGGGAAGGTATGCCGCACTAAGGGGGGTACGTCGGAGACACGATTGTCAACTTGCTTCGTCGGGATGGGAGATTCCGGGCACACATGGACGGTGCCGACGCCTGTGAGGGGGCGTTCTATAACCGGTACACTTGTGGGAGGGGCAACCGTTCTTAAACCGGTACACTTGAGGGGGGCACACACGTGCTCTGTACCCCCATGTTGCCTGTCAGGATCAGAGACAGGCCGCCGATGTCGTCCGGGGCATGGCTGGTGGCGGCGTTCATATGAGTGGTAGTCGATGCCCGGTGATGTCCAACAACAAACGCTCGTGGCCCTGGAAAAATGACTCGCGTAGTCCACATGACAGCATCCTGCTGATGCCGAAAGCGGACGTACCAAGCCGGCAACGTTGACATGAAACTACGTCATGGCAATTGTCCAAGGCAACTCCCTAAGAACGCCTTCAATGAAGCAGATATTGAGCCTGAGTCTGGCATCAACCACCGACCATCGGCCCTTCCGTCATCCGTTTGCATCATCCAACCGTGGGTCTTCGTAATCGACCGTGAGAAGGTGCACAGAAGGCGAATCGTGCTGACCAACGTGAGTCTAACGTTCAACACCCTCAAAGTGCTGGGGATGTCAGACGAGGTCAACAGATTCTTCGAGGTGAGCAAGTCAACCAAGGCTCAGCTGGGTCTACCCACGTTTATCATGGTCTCAGGTGTTCTATCTATTCTTCGTCTGTACGAATCGGCGCCCGTGAACTCTAACGTAGCCACACAACCTTGAAAGTGGTACGTTCTAGACGAACCTAGACACCCCGGTTCCAAGGTAATGATCAGTTGCCATCTGAATCTTCAGCTTTCCATCGAAGTTTTGGAGCTTGGGCCGCAAAGCGCCCTTCCTGGTGGTGGAACAGCTGGCGATTATTTGCCAAATTCACGATTTTCTTTTCCATCGAGACAGTTCGGAAAAAGCTCCGGGAATTCCATCCGACATCCGCCGGTCCAGTCGGGGCCTTGATCAGTCTTATCTTCTCTCATGCATTCCCTCGATACTATGATATGTCGCCCATCCAGAAGGAAAAATTGAGTTGTAGGGTGGCAAGCTCGGTGTCCTTCACTACAGGCAGAGAATAATAGAACACATGGACAACCACTCATCTGTGGCGATGCATGGGGATTCTCTATGCAAAGCATGTGCTGGTGTTACGCGCAATGTCCGTGGTTGTAGAAGAGGTATCGAGTAGCCAGCGATACATCCTGTTGTACTCGCCCCCGCCCTCCCAACGTTCCCCGGCGGCGCGGCCGTTGGCGACAATTCTATCTGTTCAGGTGACGTACGCGAAGCCAGGGCGATTGTCGGCCGGAATGACGTGCGCAGTCGACATTGCCTTCACGCCGAAGGTATTGGTCCCTTGCCACTAGGATTGCTTTTCCTACAGGAATCATTGCCCCAAACACAGTAGGGCCGGTTGGGTGCTGCGTCTGGTCCAGGCCGGAGCCCTTCCGGCAGCGAGGTGCAGACAGACTTGGGGCAGGTGTTTGGTTAGCTTTTGGTTCCGCAATGTCTCCGTATTGGTGAAACGGAGCCCTCAGTTGCTTGGTGTGCCCTCGCCTTTTGAAGTTAAACCACATGGCGACAACAGGAGAGGTGCGTGAGATGGTGAGATGCCCGTTCATGCTAGCGATCTAGAAGGCTCGAACGCCATGGTTATTTGAGAACTTACGTACTAGATGATATAGATACCCATCAGGACCACGAAGAACACAAGCTTTCACTTTGTCCGGAAGACTCAAAGTGTTATCGGCTTCCCGCGCACGAGAAGCTATACCGAAGGCTTGCTCAACGTTGATGCCCAAGAAACGATAAAAACGCCATCTCCAGGGCATCACGATCTCAGAACACATCTCGGTATTTTGTCGCCAACAGCGGGGTAAATATGTTTCCCAGCCGGTAGGGCTGGGTCGCTACCACCAAACTACCATTCACGTACACGATGCCCCCAAAACACGCAGGTGGAAGAAGACATATTCACGGAGCTGCCCATTCGGACCCAGACGGGGCCTCTCTCCATTCCGGTGGAGTGCACGGCCAGGAGAGTTAAGCCGAAGCTGTCCACTGCCCTCATCGTGTTCCAAGGCACGGTTGTAGGGGAGAAGGAGGTACGGTTGGTCATGTCGGCCACATCTTTGGTTGGGAGAGTGGCCTGAAGAGCTTACCACTGCTCGTGAGGCGTTCCTCTGGGCTTTGTGTCGCTGGCTTGTGGATATTTTGTCGTTACGCTGCCTCCTCCATCCCTTTCTCTCTCGCGTTTATTTTCGCCAAGATGTCGTTTTGGGAAAAAGCTCAGCTCGAACTGGGTGACCTGGCGTTGGCCCCTCATCACCTGGTCGAGTTGGGCGAAACATGAGTTCCGACTGCCCCTCCCCTTAACTGTTGCTGGTGTGCATGTTACGTCGGCCCTAAACAGACCGCGCGCGTGAGAATTTCCAACGAAGGCGTACTGAACTCCCGCTTCACGGTGAAAACCGGAGGTTCCGCAACTTCTTCCACGTCCACAGAGGCGTTGACTTCTGCGGCCGTCGGGCACCCGTCCGGCGTACCGACCGCCCAACACAACGGAGGACGGCTTGATGAAACGAGCGGTGACTGTGAACCGACTCCTGTTGTGCGGGCAGCAGGCACCCCAGTAGTCGATCCCCGATCCGATGAAAAATCAAGAGAGGCGGTATTGCTCGCGAAGGCGTCTGCTGTCGGGGATGCGGGGATGAAATATCCGGAGGGACGAGGAGCGATAGAGATAATGGAGGAGAGTGGGGAGCTGATGGGGTATGGGTCGGCCGAGATTGTGATCGTGTTTGCGCCGCTCACTGTCGGAGACTTCAAGGTGGTGAAGGTGGGTGGTTTCGCTGAACCAGCCAAGTTCAAACACGCGGCTTCCCTTCTTCTGGTAGACGTGAAGGATGGTTTGGGAGGTTAATGAAAAACAAATATTGGTGAGATAATTTAATGGAAAGGCTTGGGTTTAAGGCTGCCCTCTAGAAAACCTACGCATCCGTGGACGACGCCCTATTCATGTGCAATTAGCATGTCCTACATCACTCGGTTGAAGCCAAAACGCTCCAGGCATGTTCAAGTGAGCGAAGGAGAGATTTAGTGAGGGACCAACTTCCAGCAAGACGTTGTGCAGACATCTGCAGCAACCAAGGGCACGGGCGTGTAGGTAGAGCGGACAGGAGGCACACTCTGTAGCCGCTAGCCGAAGTTGCAAAAGCAATGTTTCAGCCGTTGCCTTCACTTTTCAGAAGAGTTCGGCGACGTTTGCGGTTCAGCCTCACAACCACGGTGCCCTTCACAGACATACAACTATAGATCGCCGGTCGCCGATCAATCTCGTGCATTTCCGTTGTTGTCCCGTTGTTGAAATCACCGTCAGACGATCAGGTTTGAAGGGAGCGAGGAGGAGTTCCGCCTAGTCGTGGAGGCTTCGAGCGCACCGGTCGCAGTTTTCCCAGCAGAGGCGTGCACCGACCTCCGCTGTTGCGTCTTCGAAAAGATGTACTTGAAGAAGGTTGTCCCTGTACTTGAACCAAAGAAAAACACGCATGTGCCGTTGCGAGAGCGTCACGGTACAGCGTACGTGTCGTTCGCGGTTGGGCGAAACCAAAGATAGCGTTTTGATAAAACCGTGTTTGCTCGTCTGCGCTCGGGCTGGCGTGTTGTGTTAAGCTACGTTTCAGCGAGGGAGCCTGGCTTTCGCCTCGAATTTACCCTCGATATTTCAGCGTGCTGTGTGTAACGACCTGCCCCCTGGGGTCACGACCCGGAGAGTCCATGTCTAAGGTCGAGACGGTTTTCCCACATAGCCGTGTACTACATACCCGACACTCCCAACCCACGAACACTCTCCGCCGCCATGCCGTGTTGTGCGGCCGGACCTACCGACTGACGACGACAACAAGATTCGAATCTGCAACAGGGGGAAGATAGCAATGAAAGCCGTAGCTCGGGTACCCCCGTCCTTGCGCGGCTGCACCAGCTTCAGCCCAGACATGGGCTTCGTTCAACCGGGGTCTTTCTTCGAGTTCGGCCTCCGCTTCCGCCCGGACCCAGAAAGCCTCGCACGGTGCGCACGAGACGGGTGGGGCATCCTCGCAACATCGCATTCAGACAACAGCAGCAGCGACAAGGATCACCCTCTGAGCCTCGAACACAATTCCACTGTCGCCCCTGGTAGCGAGCAGCAACTGCTGCAGCAGCAAGGGCATCGAGGGTCACGAAAGCCGGGCGTAGTCGCCGACGGCGATGCGGAATCTTCCACGGAAGGAAGCTGGGACCCGTGTGCTAAGACGGCTGATGCCGGCGGTATTATCGCCATCCCCTTGAGATTTGACGTGCCCGGACAGGCGCTACCGGCCAGGGCTGTGCTGCAGGCTAGGCTGACTGGTTCCAAGGTAGAAGTGGGCTGCGGAGACGGAGAGCGCGGAGAAGGAGAGGGCGGGGTTGGTGGAAGTGAGGCCGTTGTTAACTTCGGGCCGTGCTTCGTGGGGCAGAGCGTAACAAGGAGAGTATCGCTGAGGAACACCAGCCTTCTTCCGGCAAAATTCGGTTTCATTGGCAACCCGGCCGAGGTGATCAAAGAATGCAAGGATTTTTAGCCACAGGGTAAACCGAAGTCAGCCTTGGACGGCAGTACGCCATCAAGAAGGACGATTGAAACCAACCAAGAAAGTTTCCGCCGGATTTCTCGATGTGTGGGTGTGTTTTCGCCAATGGTAAACCGAATTTTGTCGGTACTCTGGCCGAGCTCGCGGGAGGTGCGAAAGAGTTCGTGGTGTCTCTGAACAAGGCTATTGTCTGGTTCTCGTTGTTCGCTTGTTTACTGTGTAGGTGTTGCGGATGTTGCTGTTGTCGTTTCGTCGCACACTCCAGTACTCAGCCGTCTTAAAGAATCGTTCTAAACCTTGGAAACGCGTGGGTTCAAAAACCAAGGTGGACCTTCAGCCCGCTGACGGCTTCGGTGTGCTTCTACCGGGAGAGGAACGCTGGATTGAGGCGACATTCAGCCCCCTGTCGTCGGTCTCGCACGTTTCCACCGTGTCGTTTCGGACGTCGCTGGGCCAATCCACGTCCGTTAGGCAAGTCCCTCCAATGAGGAACGCACGTAGTCGTAACGTTAGATTTCCGTGGTGCTTACCATCCGGTGTACGAAAGTATTACGTTCGGCTTCACTATGGCATTCCTCCACAACCGACCGAACTTGTGAATATGAATGGATTGCGATCATTAGGCTGCGTCTCGACTGATCCCCATCGGACAACTCAATAACATGGGAGTAGGAATTTCTTCACGAAGGATGAGAACGCTAGCTTCCACCACGGTAGTCAAAACCTATTCGAATGTACCTGCGATCTAACCGAATCTTCTTAGTAATGCCAGGGGTGAATATATCGGCAACCCGTGTCCAAAATCGCGGCCGAATCAATCGTTTGGCTACAGTGAAGACTGGTAGGTGTAGTGACCATCCGAATGGAGGCACTATCGGTTAGACCTTCTAGCGGACAGAAACGCAATACACCAAAGAACAAGCTCCGGCACAGGGCGTTTGTGATACAATTGCGTACTACTATGAATCAACGTCATAGCGTGCTTGCCTTCCCCGGGCCATCTGTGTCGACCTCCCCAAGGGTTGGCGGAAACGAACGAATGCATGTAACGAGCTTGAGACGAGACACAGGCAATAAATGGTGTGGATGAAACGAAATGATTCTTCTTTCCAAACAGGTGCCTCGGTTTCGGCGTGGACCCGGTGATTAAGCTGAGCCACACGGTCCTCAGCCTGGCGCCGGCATGCTCGGGAGATACCGTGACAGCCAGCATCTTCGTCAACAACGTATCCGCGGTGGAGCAGGTACGATATTTACCGGTAGATCGCACCTGCCGATCTGTGGGATTTTAATGCTGCCGATCGATGTCCTACTCAATCTGCAAACCTCCTTACCCAGATTCTTCAACATCATAGTCCTCGACTCTCCATCTGTTGGCGATCTGAAGCTCCAACATTTGCGCTACAGTGTATCGGTTTGTGGTCCCCAAAAGCGCGAATTTTACAGGCGCATGAACAGAAGTCCCAAGAGACGACGCAACTGGTTCTCAGCCAACAGCCCGAATACATGCGATTTCATTCAGCGGGACTGCAGGTCCGACTAGGTCCACACCCAAGAGAAGGCAAAATAGCGGAAATCGGGCCGAATACGCGTGGGGGGGGCAGAGTAAACAGGGTGCACACCGAACACGAACCCGATTACGACAAGCTCAAGAAAAGCATGATAAGGGCGGCAACGACACGTAAGCATCGAACCGATATTTCCTGCGTTGCTTTCAGAATCTGGAGTTCTGCGTCCCAGAGCCGGAGATCTCCTTCCTCAAGATCTGCCCGAGCGTCATACGTCTCTTCCCGAAGGAGGGAGCTCGAATAGAGGTGTCCTTCTGCCCGCCACGTGTTCTCCCCTTTGCGGAGGCCTTAGGTGCAGCTGAAGAAAAAGAAGGCACAACTAACGAGGAAAAGAAGCATGTAGAAGAACAGCAAATTGACGCCGGGGCGCAGAAGAAAGGGCCCGGCGGCAAGGATGCCAAAACGACAGAACCAAACAGCAAGTCCCCAGCTGCGCAGGCGGCAACGCAGAAAGCGAAAGGATCTTCTGCCCCGGCAGCAAACAACGATGAAGAGCTGGAACAGAAGTTGGAAGGAGAGGACAACGCCAATGGCGCCGTCGCGGCAGTCGTCGATGTTGTGAATACCGCCCACGAAGTCCCTCTCTACGCCGGAGCTGTGGACGAAGGCGGAAGCACGAACGATGACGGGGGGCACGAGGGAGGAGACGAGGAGGAGCCGTGGAGCCGGCACGGGCGTTGGCGGGTGCCTTGTTTCCTGAAGACAACGAGAGGCCACAGCGCTGGCGGTTCCACAGGGGACACAGCGGAAGCTTGTCTTCCACCGCTAGCATTGGAGGTGAAAGACTGCAATGAAAATATCTTAGTGACAGAGGGTCGGCAAAGTGTAGTCACCGATTGCATTTGCTTCGAAGAGCCGACAGAGCATGGGTCGCGCGCCTAGAGTAATATTAGTAGAAACTACTATAAAATTGATTTATTTCATCGTGACGGATTGACCATGAAGTCATGCCTGCCTCACAGGCGTACGTCAGTGTATCCATATGTCGACCAGATGGAGTAGACACCGGCAGACGAGAACAGACCTTGTATGCACATATATGCAGAATTGGAACAATCAGTTCCTTGGACTCTCGCGATGGGATGAAGTGGTCTCAAATCGTTTGTATTTCTTCCCCCCGTGCTTTACATTTAAGGTCACCACAGTTACGGTGGAACGGACGTTGTCGGTGGACCAGTCGCGAGTGGACTTCGGGCAACTCGCCGTCGGAACGAAGGCAGAGGTATGACCCTCGCCCCTTGCCATCCACAAATGCGTATCGATTCGCCGCTTCCGTCTTATCCGCAATAGCGGTTGCTTTAGGGGAGGCTTCGTTTGTTTGCATCCGATTGCTTGAAGGCAAGGGTGAACTCAGGTGGTAACTGGTAAGAGATGCCTACCCCTCCAACTATCGGAATTCTGCAAGAAATTGGTTTCGGTCGACGAAAAGTCGTTGTTGTTGACGTGTGTCTCAGTGTTCCGGGTGCTCCCGCTTTGAGCACATTTTGAGGGATGCCGAAACCTTGTGTTTTCCATCTTTGTCCACTGAAACACCTGCCCGGAGTGAAACGGAAGACCAGCAACGACCTTTCTCTCGCTCTCGCTCTCGTCGGATCAGCCCCGAAACAACGGTTGATCCTCTCCCCGTGCTGCCAAAATTCCAAGCAGGAAATTGTACGCGTGAGGAACGCCGGAGACGACGATGCACCCCTGGAGGGGGGCGGTCTCAACTCTGTCGGCCCTTTTGAGGTGAGAGCAGTTCGACACGACTGTTGTTGTGCACAAGAAAACAGTTTGTTGTCGTAGCTACTGGTCGTGAATGTCGAAATTGAATGAGGAAACGCGGCCAAAGCACACAGACCACCTGATTCTTGGGGACCCAGCCGTACGACCATGAACAGCGCCTTGCCGCGCTGGTGAATGCTACGAAGTGCGAAGCGCTCCACCTGTAGACAAAGTTCTTGAGAATCTCACCTTGCCCGAACAGGTATTAGCGGTACGGAAAGGGGACATTGGCATAGCCCCTGCTACAGTAGACAATGTGAGCCTTGACATACACGACTGGTGCTCGACTCGAGACTTGTTCGCCTCGTCTTTCACCTTAGGGGCTCGACCAACTGAACCCCGTACTACTCCCCGCTAACGATGGGGTTCCGCACAAGTCTGGCCGGTTAGAGGCTCGAGCTTCTAATATTCTTCAGAAGAGAACACCATTTTCAAACTCGAATCCTGATGGAAGTCGCATGTCTGCACCAGCAGAACAAGCGGAACTTAGGGAAATATTTTGGTACACCCCCGTGTACCAAAATACAGTATTGTGGATTGATTTTGGCACGTCTCGCTGCCAAGCTTGACGCAGCAGAGTGCATAACCAAACCACGGGTTTTGTTCTTTGTGCATGGAAGGTGTTGAACGCTTTCCGCACGGTACCACGTCGAGGCGGAAGTCATCGGTGTGTGCTGCAGTTTAGACCGGAGAGGGCTGGCATCGTTTCGGAGACCCTCGTCCTTACGAGGTACCGTAAAGACAAGTCTTTTCGTTTGTAACAGACACGGAGAGACACGACTCATCTCATGTGGATGGCAAGTTCGTGGCTTAAACTCTCGCAATAGAAATGGGATAGCTCTGACTGAGTGACCAACATTGCCTCAACAAGTCGATTTCACGCCCGATTCTGTTGTCTTATAGTGTGTTCCGCAACGAACGTTTTGCAGTGCTGCATGAACCATGGCTTCCTGAACCACCATTAGGGCCGAAATTGCCGTGTCTGAGCTGCAAGATTGACGGCGTTTCAGAAATCGCGTTCTTTGGAGGCCAGTGGGTTCACCATAGTCGACTCCGGAGACACGTAATGGGGGGTGGCTTGCATGAAAGACAGAGGTTCGGAAGAATGGGGCAGAGCGCTTGGAAGAGAGAGAGAGGGGGGACAAATCGTGAAACCGGGACGAGTTTCCTTCAGAGGCCGGCCTTGGTCGGAACGAGATAGCTCCTCTTCGCTGAGCCCCTAACCGCCGACCCGGGCGCTCCCTGCTCCTGCACGCCTTTCCAGCCCATCGCTGGGCAAAAGCATTCGTGTCTGCGTGAGAGGAGAAGGGGTGAAGCCAGTGCTAAGAATGACCCCTGCCGATGGTCGTCTAGATATGGGTCATGTGCTGGAAGGGGACACAATAGAGCGGTGAGTGACCACGGATTGGGCCTACTGCGGGTATCTCTTGTTCTCGGTTTATTTCCATAGAGTCATAGCACAGAGAAAGTACCTCCGTCACTCATTCACCCCCGGCCTCGTTGCCCTTTGTTTGCTCTCTCGATCGGCTTTGTGTGCGCCCTTGGTGACTACTGCAGAGAGGTGAAACTCCTAAACGACAGCGTGTTTCCGCTACGCTATGCTACAGCACCCTTCGGCCCACGGCCATCTTCGAACGTCAACCACCTCGAGGTGTGGCTGTTGTCTGAAGAGCTAGAGGGTAGGAGCTGCAGTCAAAACCCAAAAGATCCCGTTCCTGAGGGCAGCCACCGCATGCTATGGATTGGTGACTCACAGCTGAAGAATTTGGCCCTGCATGGGGTATTGCCACTGACAGCTTGGTCGAACGATGCGTGTCACCATCCTAACGGTGTGTCTGATGATATTGTCGGATAATGTACTTGAGAAATCTCAAGAAGGACGATGCAAATTGATGACGTGTGGGTTCTGTCACCACCAACGGAGCAGGCATTTTCGTTGGTACCATGCGAGGGGGGCGTGCCTCCGGGTGAAAGCGTGACGGTCACGGCGATCTTCAGCCCGGACTATTCCCGTATCTGGCCCTTCCTGGGAGCATTTAGGATAGAAGCGAGGGACCAGGTGAGAAGCGAACGAAAAAACAAGTTGGACACTCTCATGATTGCAACAATATTAACAACGACAACAACAACATCAACGCACACGTCCCCGCCTTAGATTTGGCACTAGAGTATTCCAACAATTTATCGCTCGCCGCGTTGTTTGTTGACAACAAGAAGGGAGATGGCTGGCCCAAACACCGACCTATAATTTCTCATTCTCTCTCTCTCTCTCTCTCTCTCTCTCTCTCTCTCTCTCTCTCTCTCTCTCTCTCTCTCTCTCTCTCTCTCTCTCTCTCTCTCTCTCTCTCTCTCTCTCTCTCGCTCTCTCTCTCTCTCTCTTCCTCTCTCTCGGTTCTCTCATTCATGCAGCCCGAAGGTGGACACCTGCTTCGTGTTCGCGGTCGATGTCTTTCACGACAGGTCTACCTTGAGGCTGCGCCACCGGGACAGAACCCCGGCGACCGTACCCCGGAGGCCACCGAAGACGCGCTAGACCCTCGGAATGGGCTTTCCAACGGTGGTCGGGGGTCGACCGAGGATGGAAGGTCGTTGCCGGCATCGGCTGGGGTACAGGTAAATGCGCAACAGCCTTCAGAAAACACCCTGGGTCGGCAGCTTTGGCGCGATCCATGCTGCCCACAAGGTGTTCCGTACGTGTTGATGTGCGTTTGTACGCCCGGGGGCGATGTCAGTAGCCCGGAAGGCATTGTCACCCGCAGAATTCGTGCTTCTCGAAGTCTTCCCGACGCTAACCGTCCCGCCTGTTCTTTGTAGTTCTTCTCTTTGTCGAGGTAGCTTCCTGCCTCACAACGACAGGACTTTGACAACAGAATTTGGACATACATCATCAACAGGAGACGAGTGTTGAAGCACGCTTGTTTTGTAATTGCCAACCTCAATCGCGTCGTGCGCTTACCTGGCGCTTTCTGAACGTTCGGTATTTCCGCCGCAGAGCGCTGCGCCAGCTCCTTCGCCGATCGTCCTTCGGTTCCCTAAGAGTGACAACAGCCCACCCGCAACAGCGGAAGAGAAGGGCGGACGTGACCACGCCGACACCAAGGACTCCTCGAGCAAGGCAACGACGGTGATGCGGCTTATTGCTGGGTGCCTAGCCACCAATGACCCTAAAAAGTCGAGCGCGGGGTCTTTCGAGGTTTGTTTATTACACGGTTTTTGGCGTGGCATGGGCTATTTATCCCGTACTTTCGGTACTTATTTTTCTAGCGGGTCCTCCGTATTGGTCAGCAGTAAAGATCAACGACCTCGGGCGCATCTGATACGCGTCCCTACGCTCATGCACTGCCATGTTTGTGCGTTGCAAGCTCTTGAGTCGGCCATGTAAAGGGGTTGGATCCAATCCGCCGTAAGTAGCATACAATATTTGTATCCATTTCGCGAGTAGAAAATATTGCCTCGCAGCACAAAACAACGTGCCCACTGTAGCCGAGCGCACATCGCATGCGTTCATCACGAGTACCCCACTGTAAACGATCCCCCCACATACGACAAGTACACAGAAACAACTCAAACCTTTTCATCGAACGTTGTGCACCCGACACACAGATGGAGTTGAGCGCAGAGGCTAGGGAAAAGGGCTTCAAGGTCACACCGGAGAAAGGCAACATTTCTCCAGGCAGCACCGCGGACATTTCATGCGCGTTTGAGCCACCTCCGCCGCCCCCGTCGTTGCCCGGACCCGCGGGTGGAAAGGGAGGTACCCCGGAGGTACGACTCTCAAGCCATATAGCTTGAACACACACACACCCAAGTTCTATCCCAACCTCTCTCTGCGCCTTTCATTGTCATCTCCCCACCCATGGAGTTTCGGACAACAACGTGAAAAGTTACTATTCGCACGATGCGTTCGGAACCACACGCGCGAGTCGACGTGTACGTGTAGTAAGGGCTCGATGAAAACGGGATTAGTGGCACTGAATGTTCCCATGACCGTTCCTCGCCAGGTATTGTACGATTCCACAACAACTTGTCCTCTCCGGCGTTTCTGAATCCGTCTTATACGCGCTTACAAGGTGGGTCAGTGGTACAAGACCACGGCGCTCGTACACCTCCGCGGGGGCTACCGGCCGCCTGGGTCGAGCGAAGTCCACACCGTCTCAGTCCAGCTAGAGGGTTTCGTCACCGCCTAGCGATAGTCGTCGCCGCGTTCGCGTTATCAAGGAAAACATGGTCTCTCTGTTCCTTTCATCGTGTGCAAAAGTACTCCACCGGTCTTATTTTGGACGCTTCATGGAAGAAAGTACAAGTTCGGCTGGAGACGTTCCATTCTAAACGCGTGGCTGTAAAAGCTCCGTGAGTGTATTGGTGGGGATTATTACATCAGTCACGTAGCCGATGATTTTCTACTCTTTTTGCTGACGGCACGGGGTGACAGCGTCAACCGACACGCAACGGGACGATGATTTTCCTCGGTATGGCCGACCAAGCGATGGAACGAAACTGTACCTGTGGCTGAAACGCAGCACGACACACTTGTTAGCACCTTCATTCGACAGGAGAGAAGCCGAAGGATCACAAGATCCAACGATATCTTCTTTTTTTTTCGAAAACAAGTCACATGTACAGTACGAAGTTCGGTTTTTGTCGCCGTCATTCGATGCGCGTGAACATTCGCAGAGAGATATGATTCACAAACGCCATCCAAGCAAGAGGTTTCCGAACGACGCCGCTATTCTATCGCAAAGCGTGCGCTACGTGCGTCGCGCTAGAAGTTGCACAACGCTGTATTCAACACCGTTCACTGCTCGGTCTTCCGTTTCTGCCTTAAGGCTACATCTGTTCCACGTGGTCCACCATTCTGGTAAACTGGTAAAAACCAAGTGGATGTGCGGTGAGGAGGGAGGGGGTTGCCGAACCCGAACTTGGTGTACGTGTAGTTTCGGACAAAGCCAGTATTACAAAAACTCGCCGTGCTTGTCTACCGCCCGGCCATGGAACCGAGCACAGCGTCGATGCTACACCAACAACCCGGTGACCACATGTTCCCCGACATATTGGGTAAACCGTCAGCTGGCTGGTTCACACATGGTGCCTGGCGTATGGGAAAACCGCCAGTTACCCCCCACACTCACAAATCCCAAACATGAAATGCGTAAACAGACGTTCAGTGTTAGGTGCCGCCATACGGCTTCAGAAACAAACAAGCCGCTAGAAACACCAGGCCTGCCCGAGGGCGCCACGCCGAGCACGCCTCCGCTACCGGATACGCCAATAAAACAAGGATCATCCCTCCAAGCATCCTACTGGCATTCTCCGAGGATGACCCTCGTAGTGGAGAGTTGGGTGCCATAGTCCCCCTTGAGTTGTAACCCCCCACAACGCAGTAACGGCCAAGCCGCGCCGCAATGTGCCACGCTCCAGCATCCGTGGCCATCGCTACTGATGTGCCGAAACAGGCCCGTCGGCTTCATCCGCATCCTGCCCTTCGCCACTCGTCTAACATAGAGGTCAAGCATTATGTACATTCCAATAAGACAGGTCGGTGTTGTACGTCGATGTTGTGTTCGAGGCATCCACGCCGCACCACACGGTAGTCTCTCGTAACGTCAAACAACGGTGCTTTCGTTACCATCTCGCCGCCCCGCCCAGCACATCACACGCCAATGCTTCCGGCATTCGATGTAAGCTACACAAGGCGTCTCCGCCTATCCCCAATTCGCCATTCCCCGGCGCCCCCCTCGTAGAAGGGTCTTCGCTGTCGTCGTTCGATACCGTTGCTCCTCTTGACACTCCGGGGCATGGCACGCTCTCGACAGCATCACCAAGACCCCGCTTCTTCACGTTCGCCGTGCCTTCCCCGACACGCCTTGGACAACTCCCTCACTTCAGCGCTCCAAATCTCATCGCACCGCCCCGCCCACGATTCGTTGGAAGAGGGTGGCGATGCCCAGGTCGCCGGCGAAGGTCGAGAGGCTGATGCCGAAGAGAATTAGGAGCGCAACTCCGTTGATCGCAGCGGCCACGTCTCTACCATCGGCGGAGAGGCGTTGTGGCAACGGGGGTGGGGGGTAGAATGGGCAGTGTACGACGGCGTTGCAGGATGTCGGTGCAGATGTTGGGGTTTGGCGTCGTGCAACAGCCACGCTGGGTAAGCACCCACAGGGGCGTGGTGTGCCCCACACTCGTCAACCTACACGGGTGTCAAGATACGCTTCCATACACTACGCTCCCAGGTTGACTCATTCTGTCTCTGTCAATGGCTCGGGGTACGCGGAAAAGCATAATTACCACAGGGCTCGTACACGCGTTGCGGAATATTTGGTCCCACCGAACCACACAAAGACACGGCACGGGTGTGTGACGCTAGCTAGTTGACATGCGCCCTTCGACATGAAGAACAAAGAACATGCTAAAGCTCTCGCTGGTTGAGTGTTTGCAGTCTCACCACTCACCCAAATTTCGTTTCAGATACCGGGAAAGATGTTCAAGCATTGGCATGCGTTTTCACCCGGGCGAAGCAATGCAAAAAAAATCGCACGCATGTCAGGGACAAGCATGTGGGTACGGAGAACCAATACCGTCATGAGTTCAACGGGTTTCAAGTCGGCAACAACAACAAGAACGACAACAACGCTACACCAACAACAACACCACCAACAACAATAGCCACGACAACAAGACACATACCAACAACAACAACAACAACAACAACAACAACAACAACAACAATAGACATGACTTTCTCTACCCCAAGCCTCCCGTGAGCACCGCTCGAATAAAACGTTTACCGGTCGAGCTTCTTGCCGCTGACGATCTCCGCCAGGACAAACACCATCTGGCCCCCATCCAGCCCCGGGACGGGGAGAGAGTTAATCACAGCCAGATTGACGGAGATCACCGCCGCGAACTGCAGAAGGGCCGACGGACCCTCCGACCTGGCTACCTCCGCCCCCACCTTGACGATCTCGACAGGGCCGGAGCTTTAGCATCCGGAATGACAAGAAAACGGAAGGCGTACCCCGACGGAGTCTCTATTCAGGGTGGAGTCCGTTCGTACCGAAACGTTGACAACCGTGCCGATGTGCTCGGAGCGTGGCATGTAGGGCCACGGTTTCTGAGAGAACAACGACCGACTTTCGCTTCGGGGCTTAGCTTCAACAGCAGCAACAACAGCAACAGCAGCAACAGCAACATGAGTACTCTAGGGTTAGGGCAAGAGAAAGAGACAAGAGACACGCGAGAAGAAAGGCGCAAGCGCACCCAAAGTGTTGGAGGGATTGAAGCAATCCCTCATACCAGAAACTGAGACGGCATGTGGCAACGGCAGCAGCGACGCCGATGACGACTCACACGTCTTCCGTCTGCCCCGTCGAAGCGAGCCTGAGGAAGGAATCGAACGTCTTCGACGACAGCGCCGCCGTCTCCTTAAAGGCCACCCCGGCAGCCTCCACGGGGTTGTCCGCCGTCCTCCTGTCCACCGATTCCAGGTTGGGGGCCAGGAGGACGCCCACCGTGTACTTTCCCGACGTCCCGATAGCGGTCTGGCCATGAGGCGGCGAGGGGGGGGCGGCGACCAGCAAGAGAGGCAAATCCAAAAATAATGGGGATTGTTCCTGTGCCGACGAGACCGTTCGAGTGGAAAGGTATCAACACCCAGGGTATTGGGCAGAAGATCCCAGGAGACCCGACGTTACGGCGCCCGGGCTCGAGCAAGGGTGTAGGGGGCTCCGCCTTGGTGCCCGATCGACTGCGGGGCTTCTTTCGAGAAGGCCCCCTCGTCCCGATCGTCTGAGGCATGGAAACTGGTCGAAACGCGCCAGAAACCAAGGCGCGAATACACGGCCGTGCACACGTCGCGAACGTGATCATCTGGCCCTTCGTATGTGACGGAGAACGCTCATCACGCCCTGCCAGCCTCCCACAAAAGATCGCGTGGTGTACAATGTACATGCCGCGTGACACGGGATCCCCCGGCAGCGTGCGGCGCAATACACCACACGCCTGGCACAGCAGTGCATCTCGCAATCGCGGCTTCTTCGTGGCGTACACACCATACCCCGTTGTGTCACGTGCTATAAATTTCGGGCTCACCTGGACCATCCGCGTCTTTGGCTGAGATCCCTGGTGGGCGACCTCAATCGCCACCGGCTTGCCCTCTGACGCCCGGATCAGCTTCACGGCTCTCTCGACGCTCCTGGGAGTCGAAAAATTCCCCCCACAACAACACACACAACAGAGAGAGAGAGAGAGAGAGAGAGAGAGAGAGAGAGAGAGAGAGAGAGAGAGAGAGAGAGAGACCCACGCCCAGTAAGCACGAGAACAGGTATTGCACAGGTCATGTACAGCGGCGATCGACTTTCAACATGTCCACCATGCGCACCCCAACCTACGTAAGCGAAACGCGCGAACACAACGAGACTTTTTCGCCAGAACGACGGCAAAAATCCTCGAGCCGTAGGTCAAGGCCTTTTGTTTTCACTCCCGCGCATGGACGGCAAGCTCCTAGCACTGGCACCGAGCATCCATGAGCGGTTCGCGTGCCCGTTTGTCCGAGGCATCCACCGACTAAATATGTTGCCTAATCGTGTTTCCACCTGCGATCAAGATATGTTCTAACTGATGGACCGGTTACATGGAGCGGTCGGTCCTCGACAAATCAGCACGCATTCAAGACAAACATCAGTAGCGGTAGGCAAACTAGTCGAGGGTCAACGCCCCCAAGCTGGGGCTCGCGGCGAAGCAATTTTCAAGGCATGTAGTTGTTCATGTCCCTTCGTCCTGGTGCAAAGCGAGTATAGGCACAAACCAAAAACCACCACAACAACAACCACAACAACAAACGAAAAACAAAACCTACACATTACTCACGTGCTGTCGCCCGCTAGACTGTTCCCGTTGATAGTCAGCAGAACATCCTTCGGCTGGATGCCCGCCATCGCTGCCCCGCCTTTTGGATCCGTCAACTGCACAACAATGCGCAATACGCCAAAAATAAGGAACCAGAGAAAGATCACGACTTCTTCTCGACGTTGGTGGAGGATGGCACGGAATTGCCGTCAAAAAAACAATATCAACAAGAGGTTGGTCTCAACTCTGATGGGGATGGGATGGGGCACATGTAGCGGGCGTCGAAAACACACAACGGTGATGATTGTTGTCCAATTTTTTTGTGGGGGGTCGGATGGGACACGTAGCGGGTGTCGAAAGACATGCTGGTGTCCTTGTTTGGGGTAAAAAGCAGCCTCCCGCATCACTGGACAAGCCTTCTTCCAGGTGAAGGAAGCAAGGAAGGGCTCAACATGGGAGGTCCTCTGACAGAGATTTCGCAGGTGGCAATCGTTCAGGGGCAAATACGACCATGGGCCACGATGGCGATGGGTTGCCGGACGGATTATCGTGAACCCGGAACAGCAAGCTCTCCCGCGACGGCCATGACAGGCAGCGTTTCACGAGTTGGAAGAGCTGACCACACCTGTCTCCCACCTGATATTAGTAGAGTCTTGGACACGGGAAAGGAAACGGCGACCATCGCTATCGCAAAACAAGGAAAAGCAACAAATGGCTCACATCCCCGTCTCGGGAGCGACGCGGCCCTTGGCCAACGCTCGCATGAATAACGAACGCCACACAAGAAAACCTGCTTGGTGAAACGTTTATAGACGTCCAAAACCATTGTCATCGGAGATGGTACATCTGACGGGGGGGTGGGGGCGCGGTATCTTCGATGGTTCTATCACTTAATCTGAGAGTATTGTTACGTTTTGGGCTCATGCTGAGTCGCAAAATGTTACCGCCGGGGGTAGTAATCTGCGCGGGCACTGCATTTGTCGTGGGGACCTCATCTTGTGTGGTGCGTACGGTGAGGCAAGCAACCGAACGAGCACCTACACCGCTCCCGACCGGATGACGTGCGCTTAAATCTGAAGCATGGAAAGATCCGAACCATCGTGCGAGTACCAGACCCTCCCCCCACACACTCCGAGAGAGCAACAACAGGGCGGGCATAAACTCTCCCCGCGCTGCGAGGTCAATTGTCTAACGACTACGGCATGCACGACTATGAGTAGCTGTACTGGGGCAAAGGAAGTGGGTTGAAAAGGCGGCAAGAGATATCGATAGGATAGATAGACTGAGGAAAACACATTTGAAGCACCTTCGGCATAGTAGGAAGGAACGATTGGCCATCGGTGGTCGGCCCTGTGGGAACAATTATCCGTCCTCTCGAGGACGCGTGGTCAATGGTCTAACCGCTAAGGCATGCAAAACATAAGAGTACGCCTCTCCCCACCCACCCCTCCCCGTTGCTCGGAAGTTCCTCAAGCCCACCTGATTGACGAGCAGACCCGGCTGGTAGTGGGGTTGAACAATCCCTCCAGTCGTCACGGACCCGAAGATGCACGCCCATGCCAACGCGAAGTTGACGACAACCCCCGCCGCGACGACAATCGCTCGCGAGAAGGGACCCCTGGATAAAAAAATGACGTCACGAAGGGCTGTGTAAGCAGCAAAATCATCCCCGCGAAGGCGATGGTTCTGGGATGAAGATGTGAGGCTGATGGGCTTCTGCGGCAGAGTATGGCAATGTGTGAAGCGGGGTCCGCTTGCCCTGCGATCTCGAAGAGACAATTTCCCTCTCTCTCTCTCTCTCCCTCTCTCTCTCTCTCTCTCCTTGCCTACCTCTCTCCCTCCCATTGTCAACCTCGACGTCTCCCCCCGCCTCCATACCCGCTCGTCAACCCCCACCCTCACCGGTTGTACAGCAGGTCGGGATCATCGAGCTCTGTCACCACCCCATCCTCGTCTACCTCGTAGTTGTTCGGGAAGCTCACGTAGCCGCCCACCGGGAGGGCCCTGAGTGCGTACTGTCGGCGCAAGAAGAGGGCGTGGGGGTAAGCAGCGCACAATGCGAGCGGACGATGTCAACATGAACACCCGGAGAAGACGGACTGTCGCGCCAACAGCAGCAGCTGATGTGGGGGGGAAAAAAAAGGCAACCCATCTAAGCAAGCATGGGTATCGCTCTCAGGAAACATGCCGTACTCGCACTATGGTATGAGTCCAAGTCACAAAGACATCGTGTTTGTGCGACGAAATAGTACAACATAACATGTGCTTGGTCTCTCGTGGGCGGTGGGCACCAACCTCACTCTCAACCGGGCGCCTCGCGGCCACTCTGGACATACAGCACCGCGTTCGCTCCAACACCACCAGGCGCTCACAAGCATAACGACAACAACAACAACAACACTGGCGACAGCGACGTGAGAGCAACCCCACCATAGTCACCACAAACCCCGCCACCAACATCAGCAACAACAAAAAACACCGTGGCAACGAGCAGCACCGGCCACGCAGTCCCTGCGGACCCATCCCCGCCCCGACCACCTCACCTCCACTCCTTCCGGCTCCTTCTTCTCCACCACCACCTCTTCTTTTTTCTCCTCCTTCTTCTTTCCCCACGCCCAAATGCTGGTTGCTTTCTTCACCTCCTTTTTCTCCGGCTCGACTATTTTCTCTTCGACGTTTTCCGGGGACGAGAACGGCCCCGAAAGCTTCCCCTTCAATAATCCGCCTTTCCCGTCCGCCGCGCGGTAAGAGAGTAGCTTCGGACCTAGGCCGACGGAAAACGCCTCCACCTTGGCGAGGAGGTGAAGAAAAAAAAAGGGGGGCGGGGGGAGGTACGTCCAGCCCAAACTTTGAGCGGCTGCGAAATGGTTGTGTCGTCGCAAAAAAGAGCAGCTCGTCGTCTTGCTGGCAGAGGCAGCCGTTAGGTTATTTCACATCGTGCTAAAAGCCGCTGCTCGAACCTCCGCGAGGGTGTGTCGACACACTGGTGACGCGCAAGCAAGTGCTTCGTCGTTGGTTTGCGTCCATCTACTCTTGGGTCGTCGCAAAAACCAGGCAACAACAGCCCTTGCAGAACATTACTCCCCACGCTGAGGACGTGAATCGAACCGACTACACCCTAACCAGCAGCAGTGGTGCAGCCTTGCTCAGTGCAGCACAAAGCACACAGCAACGCAGTCGGGCTAGCCGTGCCTGTTGTTTCTCAACACGCGGAAGCAGAATAATCAACCCCGACCCTCCTCCTCGTCACCTTGATGCCCTGCGATAGCGCCGCCACAAGGTGTCCCACCTCGTGCAGCGTGATTACCGTCGTTAAGACGCCCAAGGACGCCAGGAGGGCCAAGTTTCCTGCTGCTGCGGAACCCCCCGTGGCGGCCGCAGTAGCAGTAGCAGCAGCAGCGGTTGTTGCAGCCGTGGCTGCCTTCCCCGTCGCGACGCTCGTTGCCACCGCCGTTGTGGTTGCGGCTCCCGCGGCGGTGAGCGAAGCCGTCGGGGTCTGTTTTTTTTTCGTAAGGACGGCGTTCGACAAGTTAAGTTTTGTCCGTGCCAACGGTATGCAGATGGGACGTAATCCAATCCGTGTCTACGTGCTTCTTGTGTGATGAGTGCATCACGGCGTATCGGCAGGGAAGGTGCTGGTACCGTGTCGACAGGTGCTGGCGACAGAGGCAGGAAGAGAAGTACTTCTACAATCAAGCACGCCCTTTGTACAAACGACACAATTTCAAATTTCAGGGCGTACATATGGAATCCAAGCGTGCGGTTAGCGCTTGAGAGGAAACAAAGGGTGGCCGGGTCCTGCTGCTGATATATTCGTAGGTGCTGCTGACTGCTTGCATTATCCGCGGGGGTGATGTGGCACCAGTCAGTACAGAAGCAGGGATATACTCGAGCCGAACCTCGGCAGTACAACAGGTGTACAAAGATGGCGAAGGCCAAATTCTAAAATGAGATTCGGGAAGGTACAGCTACATATACACGACAATCCGATGACAACACCACCAAAGAGAGAAACGATTGTATCAAAGATAGAAAACTAGAGCAGCAGCAGCTGGGCAACACGCCCTGGGCAACACACGGTATGTTGTTCTACATGTAGATACAGCGCCTGTACATCGGTACTGTATTCCTCTCTGACGCCGGATATACGGATTGCGTCCGTCGCGTCAGTCGACCAGTATGATGTTGATGCTGCGAAGGTTGAGGCATTTTGTCTTGCCGTAAATACCGAACCTTGCACCCGAAAGCCTCCATTTCTCACTCACCAATCTCGACAGGCATCTACCTCCTCCGCCGAGCTGCTTCCCCTGTCTCAAGGGTTGTTGGCGATGACTCCTCAATCTTGGCGCTGCTGCTGACGCTCGCGGCAGCAGCAGCACCTCGCCGCTGCCGCCTAGCGGCGAAGGAACGAAGGCCGTTGCCATTGGCTTGTTCCCTCCTCCGCAACATAGCACAACCGCGCCGAGAAACGCCGCAGTCGCCTGCCGCGCAAGTGGTCGTCTCGCGGGTGGTGGCATGTGTGTTGGAGTGTAGACACGAGCCTCCGACGACAACGCAAGGTTCGCGTGCTTTGGTGGTATGTCAACCTGCAATCCTGCCGCCGGCAGAAAAAAATGCGGCGGGATTACCACTTCGAGAAGAAAAAAAAAAAGGTACAGACACACCGCCTACCGACGGAAAATTCGCCCGGGCTGTTGGCGAGTTCACACTCCCCGGGTGCCGGGTGCCGGGTGCTGGTTTGGCGGTGTGCCGCGTGGTATACGGGCGAGATGGATGCGGTGCTTTGCTCCGCGTTGTCCGCGGACAACACAGTCAGGCGGGGAGCGGAGGCGGCGCTGAGCTATGCCAGGACGCAGCGAGGCTTCGCAATAGCGCTCGCGAAGCAGCTTGCTTCCAACTACTATCCTCGTGGGGCTTACGATGGAGATGGAGATCAGGCAAGGGCGGCGGCGGCGGCGGCGAGGGAGCGGGACGGAATGTGGATGCCCATGCGGCTGATGGCCGGGATGCTGCTGCAGCACTTCGTGAGGGACCAGTGGGAGCTGGCTGACGACGCCGTGCTTCCCGCAGAGGACAAGATCCAGGTTTGCAGCAACAGCAGCAGCAGCAGCAGCAAGTGAAAATATGCAGCAAGGAATATTGTATCGGTTTGGTTTTCTCTCAAGGACCGCGCCTGGGGGGCGGAGGTAGGGGGTGTTGATGCACTCCGAGGAGTACGAAAAACTTGGCTCGACGACGACAATGCAGACGTTACCTCTTACATACGGCCTGTCTCTCTTCCCCGGTCTGCCATGACGATGACGGCCTGGCGTGCGATAATCAAGGGACCCCTCGGGTCCCCAGGCTGCTGCCTGCCTGGCTGCCTGGCGGAGCGCAAGCAAGAAACGACACTTTGATGAATCCAGTCGGCTGCTGCCGTGCATGTGTGCCTAAAATGTGCGCGTATGGCCCTCAACATCCGCCAGTGCTTTTGAGCTCACCGACCCTCTCTCCGACGGCAGTATTTTTCAGCTCAATCTACCGTGCGTGTGTTTGTTTGGTTGGTCCTTTCCCGTTGACCGCAAGGCCTCAACAACAGCAGTCCTACAGCAGAGCTACAGCGGTAGTGGCATGCGTTTTTTTTTTTTTTGCATTTGGCGGACGAAAATACGAGCTCCCCTGTTGGCTGGCGATTTTTTACCGAGATTTTGCCGCGAGCCGCGGCACACACAGAAAAGAACAGAGACCGGTCGTTTGCGACGAGCGTGGGTACGAGCCTGCGAGGCAGGCAGGCAAGCGGGCAGAGGTTGCTCCATGCAATCGAACAAGTGTTGGTCGTCGTAGGCTATGCAGAGCTACAGCAGCAGCAGCAGCAGCAGAAGCAGCAACACCAGCAGTCGGTGTAATCCGTGTATGGCTCAACCTCGTGATGTTTGTTTTCGCGCACAAGTACAGCAGTAGACCATGCCTTCTTTTTTTTGTATAGCCGTGGTGGTGGGCGGAACGGCGGAACACGCGCCGTTGTCGTTGTACAGGTACACATGCCACAAAGGGGACAGCGCGAGGACAGTTGTTGTGGAAATTGTCATCGTGAGCAACGGGTATCTCGCAAGCCAATCATGCATAGCATATTGCACAATGCAACTACTTTTCGTACAATGTATTGTAGATAATTCTTATGGTACCGCTGTAATGTTGAGGCTGTTCGGTGAGGCGCGGAATTTGAAGTTCAACATGGAAGCGAATCACGTGAACCGCAGTAAGGCACACAGCTACAGTACACAGTCGAGAGCGGGGCGCTCCGCTAGAGACAGAGTTACTTGCACACACCGCGGCTGGGACAGAGATACATCTGTCTTGAAAAGCCGTTTCTTGCACATGGCCAACCCGCCGCCCGCCCACGGGGGCATCTCGTAAACACCCACTTGCCCTCGAGAAAATAATCGATCGGAATATGCTACATGCATACAAAAGGGGAAGCTTGTGTAGGGGAAAAGCCGGAGATTCTTCCTCAATAGGTAGGGTTGTGTATCGGAGCCGATATGTTTGACATAATCGGACGATATATATCGTATCGAATATCTATTGTCAGCCCCGATATGTTGGCTCAGAAACCATAGGTAGGGACAATCTGGGCTATTATATTTTTTTTTGCGAAAGCCGCAGAATCATTGCGTGGTATCCCTACCCCGTGTGCTTCCCTCTACAATTGTCCGATCTGCGGGGACTCGGACCCTACCACCGCAAGTGGTACAGGTACCTCTCACCACCGGACCAGTCAGCAGTACATGGATTTTAGAAGGTGCTGAGCAGAGGTCGGGGCGTTTTTTTCGTATATGCTCACACTTCACACAACAATAGAGACAGACGTGAGACGTTGTGTTCGGAAATGGACCCTTGTATGTAACCCCCCGCCGGAGATATTTTTGAAGTCGAAGTCCCACAGTCGTACTCAGCGTGCATGCGCTCGTGCGCTCTACTTTGCGTGCAAAGAGATGTTACACTTTGACTTTCCACCCCCTCCGTCTTGCTTTCGTCGTGTCGGGGTGCACCACAGGTTGTTGCAGCATGCAGCAAAATTTCGCTGGGAGACGTTGAAAATACGAAATACAGCAGCAGCAAGTAAGTAGTGGGGGGCCAAGTGTAGCGGCCCCCACCTACAGCAGTGTCACGACGAGATGTTGCCGCTATTTAAGGCAGTTCGCTAAACCGAACTACCAGTTATATTGCGGTTATACTACCGGGGGTGCGGCGGTGCGACGTGGTTTTGTGGTCACTAAACAGGGCATGGCGCTAAACAGGGACAAACCGCCCCCCCCACCGTAAGCAGTTCTGCGGCTGAGAACGCATAATAATAACCGTGTAGAGACGCAAAGCCTCCGCCTTGTGTGCCCTTTTCGATTGGCGATCTTCGCATACACTATAATATTGCTTTTTTATCCCTCTGGCGTTGCTGTTGTCAGCAGCCACAACTAAACAAAGATGGAGCACGCCACTACTTGCTACAATACACGATACCAGACGAGATACTTGAACACGATACAGAAGCAGCGACCTTCCCGTCATTTCTGCACGCTCGGCCAGAGATTTCGAGACCACCGTCTGCCTTCTGCTCGGAGAGACTAACCCAACCGTGTCGCCTTCTGGAAAACATGACAAAAAACAGCTGGCAACTACAAAGAAGAACGGAAAAACCTCTGCAACACAAGAATGCCAGGCCGCCCCGTCCTCGTCAGCAGTACAAGCCCACGCCTATCGTTTCAGGAGTTCAAGAGGCATTCCCATCTCCCCCCTCTCCCCCCTCTCCCGGTCTCTCTGGTTCTTACTCCATGTTCAACTCGAGACTTTTCATTGAGCGATGGGCTTTTGCTCGTGCTCGGTGGTTGCTGGTACATACTGCTGCGGCCACAGACACTCCACCGGTACAGCATCATTCGTCTAGAAGCACTCCCTCCGACAACAGAGCAATCGAAAACCACTGCAAGGCCGCTACCCACCCCCACCATCTGCCGTTTCGACCGAACCGGCACCGTTTCTGTGTGTCGCCGTTCTTTGTGGCCCATCCTTCCCCTGCACGCGGTTCTTAACCCAGTTTTTCTAAAAACATTTTATGATCATGTTGTAAAATTTTAAGTTGCTGCTTGCATGTACGTGCTTGTCTCGATCGTGTCCGGCAGCTCGGGGATGTCCACCTCGAAGCGGGACTGCACTTCCTCCAGCTTCTTGGCGTCAGACTCCGTCGATACGAACGAAATAGACAGGCCCTTGGTGCCGAATCTGTCGAACGGAAAGAGGGAGACACACAGAGAGAGCGAGTGTTTGCGTGATACAGATAGAACAACGAATTGTTGAGCGCAAAAGATACAGCGACAAACATCGGCCTGATCGGTACTGCAAGCTGTTGGCAGTATACACACTTCGATAAATGAGGAGAAAAAAAAAAGACGCATGTGTCACGGCCTTGCGGCAGTCAACATCGGCTTGAAGAAAAACTGATGCCACACCTACACACACCATTGGTGCCGTTCGAAAAACGCGTACTACAACTAGGACCACGCTGGCCCTGTGCTACTGATTTCATTATTTAATATATGCCACTCCCGGCCGTCCATTGCGGCTTACTCTCACAGACAAGGTCCGATCCAGACTCCCTGCTGAAAACAAAAAAGAAGCCGGTTCTATTCTCACCGTCCTGCGCGGCCCACACGGTGGAGGTACTGGTCCGAGCCGTCGTCGCCGTCGGGGAAGTCGTAGTTCACCACGATGTTCACGCTCTCGATGTCGATGCCGCGGCCGAAGAGATCGGTGGCCACCAGGATGCGCTTCTCGAAGTTCTTAATCTGCTTGTAGCGGTTTGTCCTGTAGGGAATGCGACAACAAATATTTACAGGATGAGGCCGGCGTAGAGTTGAGCTACATGCGCTCGGCACTTCTTGTTGAACTGCTTCTTGTTCATAGCGGTTTGTCCCGCAGGGCATGCCACAACTAGAGGGTGTACGCAAAACTGAGCTACGAGGCCTTGGGGCAGAAAACTCTTATGCAGATAAATAGACACGACGTCGTTCTACACATGCACCACGCAGTGTGACATAACAAGAAGTCTTATCCTTTGCACCATCTTTGAAGGACTGGTGTACCACCCACAGACGTACCAACGACTTGTTTTGCGGTGCTTGACTTGGCATCAGTCTGTTCCCTGCGTGTTGTTTGTCTGCCATCCCTCCCCCCCTTGCCTCTTACCCCCTTCCCGTGTCACGTCCTTCGGTTCCATAAAGTTAGCACCTTGCAAATAATGGTATGTTCGTTCGGCCCTCATCCCCCCACCCAGAAATGTTTTCGTCTCACACGCAGTCATTGCGTATTCAATTACTGATGGATCAACTCGGGCAGTTTGATTGCCAAGTTTATCATAAACATGCAGCTACACACGTATGGATGCCAAGAAAACGGAGCACGTGTGATGCGCACGGGGGGGGCATCTATCTGTGCATTGCTCACCGGAAGCCGATCATGTACGCCACGTCATGCTCCATGAACACCCGGCGCGGTCCCTTGGGGTTCAAGCCATCAGGCGCGCGGGGGGGGCCGCAGAGAACTATTCAACAAGCTGATACCTTGCCGTGTAGGACGTTATTGCCCAGCGGATGGGCACGCGGCGGGGGGTTGGTGCGGGTGACGGTGATCCACAAACACAAGAAGAAAAGAAAAACGAGGAGAAACTGAACCCCAAGCTGGCTGTTTTGATATTTGTTGATGATTGTTGGTTTCTTTGCATGCAATCGATCACGGTCTTGAGATAGTACGGATCAACCTTCGGTTGTCCTGCACCTATCAAAATGGTGAGAGCCAGACCAAACGGCGTTTGAAACAGCGTAAGAATTAGCACTGAGGAACAACGCTGCAAGATTAATTTCAATAATTTTTTTACAAGGGTGTGGCAGAACACAAATTTGTGGAGGACGGCATGTTGTGGGCTCTGCCGGTACGTGGCAGTATGGCAGTACCAAAAACATAATCCATCCCTGTTACGACGCCTACTGTCTGTACATACCTGTGATTTTCTGCATCGCAGCACACTTGGGAGTGATGAAGAGACTGTCGAACG